CCCCAAAACCCCAAAACCCCAAAACCCCAAAACCCCTTTATAAAATAAACCATTGAAAGTTCTTTAGGCATGAAATATTTCAGTCTAAAGCTTTTCAAGGATATTGGTGGAATAGGGAGAATCATAGCGCTTGAAGCTAAGCTTTCTCAGTCGGCTGTCTCTCTGTGATGATGGTAGCTTTCAAAGTGAGCCATCTACGATGAGAGAAGCATGGTAAATCAGCCTTTTTAATATTCTATCAGGCCATTCTCAAAATACTGTATTGGCATTTCAGCGGGAGAGATATTCAGTAAATTAGGCCCTGGATTGCTTAGACTGCTTAAATCAATATTCTGGGTATTGTAATCCATATGATATATCTCATTAATCAAGTCTTCTTCATTCTCTTTGGCATCTTCTATATTGAAGAACTTGCTCTTCGAGCCAGATGGATTTTGAGACATTATGTTTTTAACAATTTTGGAAGTATCCATCTGCTGATTATTACCTATGGCAATATTCTTGATTTCATTTGACACTTCCTTGTAAACTTTGGCTTGCTCCTTCATTTTTGCTTCCTTTGTAGGCTTTGCAAAATTCGGAGAGAGATCATACTTTTGTTCTTCATATATATCTGGAAAACTTTGTGAATCGTTTTTATCTATTTTAGCTTCAAAATCTACAATCGGGTTATAGCTAGAAGCCTTTTTCATGGCTTCTTCTAGAACAAAATCTTCATTTTCCCAAGCATTTCCTTTCATAGATTCCTCTTCAGAGAAAATATTGTCAGTTTGCAATGGGAATTTATCATGAAGATCAGTTTCACTATAAGTTTCACCTACTTCCGGGATAAAAATATTGGTATTGGTATTAGAATTTGAGTGATTACTCTTGCGAGATCCCTCATTAGAATCATATTCTCCTTCTCCATAATCAGGAGAATACTCTCCTTCAGATTCGAAATCCTCATCTCCTATAATAGGATCGAAGAAGCTCTCAGCTTCTTGCTCGATAAGGGTCTTCTCCTCTGGCTTGTGGTAGAAAGCACACATTTCACCTCTTGATCATATTTTCTCACAAGGTACAATTTTGAATTTAGAAGGATGGTACAGCCTCTCAAATGTTGTATGGCTGTATTTTCAACTGAGCCCTTCCTCACAGCTTTCCCAGCTACAGTCCTTATGAAGTAGAACACTTCAGTCTTCAGGTGCATACTCATAAAAATCTGGAGGTCTCCTAAAGTCCTGAAGCCTGTGAGAGTAAATTCATTGTGCCCAATCATGTTTCTGGCCAATCTTCGGGCACCAAGATGTTTTGTACCTAAACATTGCGAAAGCGAATGTGGATAATTTCTCTTTGTATTCGTCCAGATTTCGGTTGAACTCTTCCATCTCCATGAGTCTTCTTGCCAGTTTGTTATCCGGTCTCTCAATAAGGCGATTAGATGGCAGCAGTTCAATATCTTCTGGTGTTCATGAGATCAATTGTGGAGGATGGGTATTAGTGGAGAATGCGATTCATAAAGGTCCATAAAAGTAAGTCGATCAAAATTTCTCAAGCTTGCTTGCATTGCCATTCCTCTGGATCTTCTGACCCTCTCCTCGTATGTAGAGAATATGAATGGCACCGATATTTCTTCGCTCAAAAATATCATTTGCATCAAGATCTTTATCCTCGAATTTATTTAGTATAGACACTATAAAGGAAGATTTATTTACAAAATCTAGTCTATATCACTTCTAGTGAAAAGTATGCAAAAGTGGTGTCATCCTTATTATTGACTCAAGCCTTACCTAAATGAGAGAGGGTTTCACTTATTAGAGGATTCATCATAAGTAGAATTAGCTGAACTATGTGAAATCTTCGATTTGTTAACTCTATTATTCTTTTCCTTCTGCTTGATAATGTTAGCATATATTTTATTCAACTCTTCTTTAGGTCAAACTCGCTTTAAATTATTCTCATTGTTTGACCCAAGCTTGCTTGGCTTTATCCTCATAAGAGATAATTTTGAACCTTTCTCAACAGGCATCACTGTGATTTTTAGAATTGTCTGCCTTGACTGTTTGAGTGATTTCTTTGCCTTCTTTGACACTTTGATCTGTGGATTCTCATGTAATCCATTTGAAGATGAACCTTCTGAACCTATAAGAATTATAATAAGCAATATAAGTATTTCTTTCCAGCCTCCAAAACTCTGTCTCTAGATGTTTTCTAACTTCCCTAAAACCCCACTTTCACACCATTTTGCTTACCTTTCCGAAAGAGTGTATTGTCCATTTATTATAACCAAAACTAAAATTAATACCTAAATCGGGGTTTTGGGGTTTTGGGGTTTTGGGGTTTTGGGG